CCGGCCTCTGTGTTTATCCTTCTGCCATGGGCACTGTCCTCCCCAACACTGACTTCGCACCCTCAAGCTTTCTGTTAGTTTGTCCCTGGTCTGCTCCCCAGACGAGAACCTGAGCCAGATAGGCAGGGCCGTTGGCTGGACAGTGCCTGCGCCTGGGAGGGTTCCAAAAATGTCGTTAAGTAGCCAAGTGTGTGGACATGCCTGTGGGCATCAGCGTGCTTGCCGGGAGGTGGGGAGCGGCCCTCTCATGTGGCTCACGTCTAGGCCAGGCCACTATCTTCGTGGCGCAGGCCTGCGGGAGATTTCCTGGCTGTCCATCTGGGCAGCTGCAGTGACTGCTCCCGTGGTTAGAGCTTTGGGGTATGCGTGCACTGCCAGGAATCGTCAACATCCAGGGGCTGGGTTCAAAGAATGAACTCACATCTCCTTTGTACTTTCCAGAACCTCGCCAATCCATCTTCCAGCTTTAAACCCTCTGTGACCTCCATGGTCACCACTTGTTCCTGGGGTGGAGGAGCAGACAGTTCTGAGTGTGGCCCCGCTCTCCCGAGCCCAGTCTCTGTTCCTTCTCACAGCTCTTAGTTCAGTGGTGACGTTGTTTTCCTCAGTCCTCACCAATGCCTTGATTCTGGAATCTCAAACTCTCGTCTCGCTTAGGGTAGCAGTTCTACAAGGACAGGCATGATCGTGTCTTGTTATGTCATATTGACATGAAAACTCAACAGCAGCTACACATGATGAGGAATTTTTTTCTGAGCATTTCTGTCTTAGCTTTTCCTTCTCCAATACTGTACATATTCATTCCGGAGTTTGCAGGGAGTCCTGGTCCAGAGGCTGTTTCCTGGGAGAGTGTTCGGGTTTTGAGGAATAAAGTCATCAGTGTGGACACATTTATCCGTGATCCACTGAAGACCCGTCTACCATCCCGGACAGTCATGGAAGGAAGCAGCAGGCACTTACCTGGGGAGATTCAGGAACAGAACTCATCCTGGCAGGTGGTATAGAGAAAAGCATATTTGGTGTCTCAATGATGAGGCATTCAATCATGTTAATTTCATAACCAAGGTAGACTTAGCAAAGCCCTAGAATCCCTGAAAATTGTCAGCTGGCTGATTGCATCGCTGTCTAAATGCGTCTCCGAAGAGAGAGACATGGGCTGAGAATAATTTCCTGTGCTCTGTTACTGCCAAGGGATATGACGAGGCAGGTGAGAGGTGAGTGTAAATTGCATGTGCGTTGAACATAATGAAGTGGTTTGAAAACAGCTGCCAGATGATGAACAGCGGAGTTTTGCTTAATGCATTAAAGAACCTCTTCACAAAATTTTGTTGTTATACAAACAAATAGGCTTCTGTTCTTCTCTCAAGGTCAATGAAGCCTTGGGCTGCTGGTTGGGAATAGAATCTGCCTGCTGCAGCTTTCGTGATGTAAACACATGTATTCTAGGGCAAAGGGTTAATCTTCCTAGTGACAGATGCCCACTCTGGACTGTACTTAGAGGGATGTTGCTGGATTCCCCCCAGGGAAGCCCCGTATCAGGAGGAACCTTGGAAGTTGAGGAAGCTGCGGACCCTTCTAATTCATGAAAGCCACACACTGAATGGATCTTTCAGGAGGAGAATGCTGTCTAGCAGCCACCCAATTAACATGTATGTGTTAAGCACCTGCTGCATACACAGTACAGGCGTGGTCTTGGAGCAGGATCCTGCCTGAGGAGTCTCTGTGCGCCTGGTGCAGGCAGGCATGTCTGGGATTCTGATAGAAAGAGGGTCTGGGGGAGGCAAAGGGATCTTCTGAGCCAGCCTGGGGTGCACGCACGTTGTCACAATCCACTTCCTGTCCAGGCGCCCGCGTCTGGACCTTGTGCTGGATCTCCAGTTCCGGAGAGCCCATGGCCACCTCCCCCACCAGCTGATGCTGGCACAGGGGGAAAGGTTGGGCTGATGGTGCTCATTGGAAGTTATTGTAAAACCATCCAATCTTCCTTTTTCAAAATAGTTTTAAATTTTTTTAATTCAGTGGTTTTTGAGGTGCAGGTGGGTTTTGGTTACATAGGTAAGTTCTTGAGGGGTGATTTCTGAAACCTCTGAGAACCCGTCCATTGTTTCGTAATGATGGAAACTGCTGCCTGCCTTTTCCCGCTCTCTCCCTCTCTGACCTGGCTCCTTACAGTAATCAGGACGTTTACATTACCACGTATACACAGCAATCCGTTCTCCTGGGTGGTGTCATTAATCTCTAGTTTTAATAAAATGAATATTCAAATTATTGTGCAACAAATTACACAAAATCACAACAATATCAATGCATTAGTCTTCCTAAACTGACGTGCAAAGCTAAGTGAATTTTCTCCCATCTTACAGAGAGTACTGCATACGTCCTCGCCTTTTACTGGTCCATTTTACCGAGGCAGGGAAAGTGACGTTCATGCTTGTAGACCTCCGGTGACTCAATGGTTAGACATTCTGTCCAGTGTGTGGGGAGCAGGGCTGCTTGTTCATACCCGTGCAGTGGGGCCCAGTGGACATTTCGAGCTTACATCGTCAGGGTCCTCCCTGGACACACGCCAAAGCTGCACCTCTTAGCTCCTTAGCTTTGTGGGAGGAGGCCCAGCTGTGAGGCACTGTGTCATGGGGTGGAGGGACAGGGTGAACCCTGGCTGCATCCCTTCAATGCTGAGAGCAGGGTGATGTGGGCACCTTTGAGTATGGATCAGGAGTCAGTGGCCCGAGAGGAGTGTCAGTCATGGAACATGGGGCCTACGGGTCTTTCAGATCTGTGCCCACAGGCTTAGGCTCCATTGTGAGATCTTGAGCCTGCCTGGCTCCACCTGGTGTGACAATCCAGATTGCAGAACTGGGATTGTGGATGGAGGCAGGCAGACTGGACGGGGCCATGTCCACATTTTTTATAGCTGCTAAGCGAAGCCATGATGCCAAGGGACAGTGTCATCTGGCCTGGGCTTAGCTTGGCTAGAAAAGCACAAGGGCAATGTCAGGGGTCAGGTGGGTCCTTCCCTCCTGGGGCCTGGGAGGAATCTTGGGGTAAGTTGCTGTCTGTGAGTGCCTGTGCAGAGCCAGATCACGAACAAGCCATGCAGCAGCCATGCCTTGCACTGGAGGAGCTGGGCCCTGAGGGAGTTTTAACGAAACAGCCGGAGTGAAGAAGCCCGTTGTAAAGCAGTCGTGGTGTACTGACCTGTGACGTCAGCAGAGGAGGGGCACACAGATGAAATGAAAGAGATGTGCCTGGGAAAGTCACCTTCACACCTCCTTCAAGGACAGAGAGGCAGAAAGGGTCCTAAAGCAGAGACCCATCCGTTGGCTGATGTCACTTTTCGTGGCCATGGGATGCTGAGCAAAACCAGCAAGTGCAGCTGGGAGTGGCGCTGGCCCTGGCTGCCTTGAGCAGGTGCCGTCCACCGCCCAGTCTGGATTCTGCTTGCTAAATCCCATTTTGAAGAAACGGAATGATCCTTTTAGAATACGAAAATGTGCATTCTTCTGAAATGCAGTTTACGAGAGTCTTTCCTTTCCCGTGTCTGTGGGATAAACAACCGTGAGTTGCGTGCAAGACAGCGGAGCAGGAAAAGGAAGGACGCTTTCCTCCTCGGCGCTGAGCAGGTGTTCGACAGCAGTGGTGCTTCCATCACACGCTTGGCCCCGTTCCTCTCTCAACCAAACGGAAGAGAAGAAAACAGACCTGAACAAGCAGTTAATGATGGAAACTGCTCCCTGCCTTTTCCCGCTCTCTCCCTCTCTGACCTGGTTCCTTACAGTAATCAGGACGTTTACATTACCACGTATTCACAGCAATCTGTTCTCCTGGGTACTGTCCTTTTAATAAAATGAATATTCAAATTATTGTGCAACAAATTACATGAAACATGTGACATGTTCCCTGACAAATTATTTGTTTTTCAATTTGGGAAGCTTTTCACCGGGGGATACTTTCCCTCTCACTCCTGACTTTCCCTTTGAGTAAATCCTGTTATTTCCATATTTCCTGGAAAGCCTAGAGAAGTGGGGCTTCCCGGCATCCACTCCTTGCTAGCACTCACCAGAGCTCCGTTTGGCTCCAAGATCCTTTTTGGAAGCCCAGAGCCTGGCCCTGGGGCTTCCTGGGCGCACTCAGAGTGACCTCTGGAGACCTTGAGCCAGTGCCACCCACTGCAAAGATGGGGTAGGTGTGGGCAGCGTCTCCTCTGGGGAAATGATGTGCTCCCCCCTGGAGACTCCTCTCCGCAGATGAGGGAGCCTCGGTCAGCCCAGGGGCCTGGACGGAGGCGGGAAAGCTGAGGTCCACCGTTGGGGTCAGCCCCCACCACTGCATTTCACTTTGAGAGTCACCTTTTAAATGACAATTCCCAAAGCCTCAATCCTCAGAAAGTTTTCCTCGGCGTTTTGTGGCAGAGATTCAGGCTCCACGTTGAGTTTGTGGCAGCAAAGCCTGGGGCTTTGGCCAAGGGACTCCCCAGGAGGCAGGCGAGTGCTTTGGGAACCGGGTTCCTGGTAACTCCAGACCCGGGGAGGAGGCCTGCTGGACGTGCCCGAGCCACCAACAGACACTGCCCGAGGATCACCACTGTGTGTAGTCACTGCTAGGGCTTCCATTCTGGCTGCCCAGGCTATGTCCTGACAACCACGGGGGTCCAAGGCTGTTTGCACGGGCAGCCCCTGGGAGTCCAGGACCCACTGCCATGGGGCAGGGACCCGACCTAGGCCAGGGTAATGGAAGGAGTGTGGAGAGTGGAAGGTGGTGCTGCCTGAGTGAGGGGCCCCAGGCCTGAGGGTGAGGTCGGGCCCACTCCACTGTGGACCCCAACTCCCTGCTGCTTTGTCTGAAAAACAGTCTCCAAAGTCTTACTCCGTGGACAGAGCCTCCCCATCAGCAAAGGTGCCAGACAAGCCCTCGAGGGAAAGGGGAGCTCCCGAGCTCCCGGCTGGGCACCTCATCCAGGCCACCCATTTGGTCCGCTAAACAACACTCCCCCCACCCCACAGATGCAGAAACCTGGGCGAGGAGCCTCTGTGGCCTCTAGGCCCCGTGGAAGCTGATGTGCTGAGCCTGCTGAGGTGAGGCAGGTGCCTCCACATCCGGGAAGGGTGGGCAGCACTGAGGGCCTGAGCTTCCCTGCTGGGAGGTTGCCAAGGGTTCTACCCGCATCCATGCTGGACGGCACAGTTCACAGACCAGGCTGTGGCGTGGGAGGATCAGGAAGGAAGGGTTGCCAAGGGTCATCCCTCCCACCGGCCCGGTGGGGCTCCACACAGACAGACACTTCCTGAGCACTGGGGTCCCCAGGCACAGGGCTGGCAGGGAAGAAAGAACGGTGGGGGCCCTTGGGGACTCCACCACACTGCAGGAGCCGGATAGTCAAACACCTAACATGGCAAGGAGATGAAAGGGGCCCGTGGAGCTTGGGCCGTGATCCAGCCCAGTTTGTAGGATTATTCATTTGGCACGTTCAAAACTTGCAACTATAACCAGGCATTGGATGCCTTTCAGAAAACAACCAGAACAACAAACACCAGAAACTGCAAATGCCGGCCGCCTCATCCAACAGCGGTTCAAACGCACGTGTCCTGAATCTGCACGGCGCCTGAATCAGATACGCAAACACCTAGCGCTGGTCTTCCAAAAGGAGCATAGTTAATTCCTGATGAATTTCCTGACTCTTGCAAGCTGTGTGGAGCTGTGTGTGGAGGTGCGAGACGCAGTGCTCTCAGAGGACATGGAGGGAAGGACCCGTGCTGTCGACGGAATCTCTGCACCAGCTCATTCTGCCGCTGCCCACCGTGTTGTCAGAGCCCCCAGTGCCTGCTGTGGACCCAGGCTCATCTCCCCGGGAAGCTCACTGGGCCTGTCTTCTGTGCCTGACATCACTGTCCTGATCAAAGAGTCATTTCTGCAGAAGTAATTACCGTTATTTCTGGTATAGTTGGTGGCTACGGCGCCTGAAGGATTTCCACTGGAGCTGAAATCAGTTGCTAAACAGGCATAATAAACTAATGGTTGTTTGTTTTCTTGAATGTGTTGCTCAGCACAGACAGCATGGCAGCTGGTGTTTGTCGGATTCAGTCTTCGGTCACAGGGACCCTCACCAGCCATCCTGGGCTTTACCTAAAACCCTCTGCCCTGTGGGAGGCCTCCAGGCCTTCCCTCCACTTGGCATTCTCAGAGGCAGATCTGTCCTGGCCTTCCTCCTGATCTCTGGTGAAGATGCAGAAGGTAAATGCTTAGCATTTTATCTGTTCTGCACCCCACCGGTGGGCATAATTCCCAACTTAGTCTTTGACAAGCTTCCGAGCCTGAGGCCCCGGAGCCCACGATGCCAGCACGCTCCTTTTGGGTGAGCATCCCCTGGGCAGAGGGGTCTGATGCCTGGGCCGGGCAGGGAGGGTCTGGCTGGGTCGACAGTCCTCTCCAGCCATGTGCCTTCTGCGGGCACCTCCTCTGCAGAGTGCAGGCAGAGACCAAAGTCCTCTGGACTGAGGCTGGCTCCATCCTAGGGTGTGCCCAGAGAGGAAGAGAACACCTGGAGAGCCGCCCAGCTGCGTGTGGGTGCCCTGAGCCGGAGCGGTGGGGCTTGGCCCACTCGGCCGGATGTTCTGGAGCCGCCTGCCACTGCACTGGGTTCCCACCCCACTGTCCCTCTTCTTCCTTCCTCTTTGCTGAGTCCCAGGAAAAGCCAAATCCAGCTGCTGGTTGGGTGCCAGGTTCTGGAGGCAGGTTCTGGAAGCATCTCAGCAGCCGGTCTGCCTCTGAGCAGAGAAGGCGGTGGCAGGGCTGCCCTCCCAGTATTGCTGAGGCCAGTGGGGTCTTCAGGAAGTCACGATGTGGAGCCCGGCCAAATGCCTCAGTGCACACAGCCCCAGGGTGGGACCTGGTGAGGCCCAGGAGCGTCTCTGGGAAGCCCTAGTCCTCTCAGATGCATCAGATGGACGAGGCACGACTTCAGCCAGTGTGGGGAGGGGGCCTGGCCCCAGCCTGGCAGGGTGGGGTTCAGGCCAGAGACACTGGAGCAGGAATATCGGCACCTTCATCATCACGAGCCTTTGTGCAGGTTCTGTAAACCTCGCCAAGCCTGACCTCTCCCACGAAACATAGGGGCAATGGACATTTGCCTGCATGTGGATATTAAAGGACACGTTTGAAAAACAACATGCAAGCAAAGCTCTTTTGTAAGTTCAATAATCAGAGAAGAAGGTAGGAGTGGCAATAACAATGCGAATGCTAACAACGGCAGCAGCCATGCGGGGCTGGGTGTCGAGCACATGCCGGTTTTCTGGACACGTTGGCTCCGCACCCTCTCCTCAGCCTGCCCTCAAGGGAAGCACATGGTTAATTACTGTTTTGTTTAAAATATTGATTTTTATAAGCCATCCTTGTGGGATAGCATTTCTGGCTTATCTCTGAGCTGGCTTAGCAGTTTTCTTTGGCTGGACCTGTCTTATCTCACTGTTTATTTACTCAACTATGGGATTCTCTGTGGTCCTTTGAGGAAAGTGAGTTATGGTATTTATCCGTCCACGCAGTGCATTGAGTGCCTGCTGCTCTTCAAACTCAGCTCAGGAGGCATCTCCGAGGGGGGCAGCTGGCATCCCCAGGCTCCAGTTGGCTTTGCGCCCTTCCTGGCTGGTGTCCTCAGGCTGCTCCCACCCGAAGGCACTCTTCTGCTGGCCTGGGTGCCTGCGTTATATCATCTTTCCAGTCCCAGAGCCAGGTACCGTCTGGCTTCGTAAATGTCTGACTATGGGGTGCAGAGAAGGACCCAGGAAGGAAAACACAAAGCAACCCACACCTCTTCTTCCCAACACTGGGCTCTGTGTGTGTTACTGTTGCACGGTTATCAGTAAACGGGCTTGGGTATCCTCCTGAAGTGCACTCTTCTTGCCTTTATGATGTGCACGTGGGGTTGCCGTGCTCTGTGGGCTCTCTGTGGGTTGCGGGTTTGGTGCGAGGCTTCGCCTGCCCAGTAGGTACAAGCACACGTCTCTTCATTGTGCCTCCCTTTCTTGTGCCTTGCTGAGAGTGTGTTTTTACAAGTTGTAGGTTTGTGGCAACGCTGGGTGGAACAAGTCTATGGGCGCCATTTTCCCAACAGCATGCGCTCACTTCACGTCTCTGTTACGTTTTGGGAACTCTCACAGTGTTTCAATGTTTTTAATTATTGTCGTCTGTTGTGATGATCTATGATATTTGATGCTATCTATGATATTTGATGTGATATTTGATGCTACTATTGTGATTGTTTTGGGGTGCCACGAACTGCACCCATATAAGATGGGGAGGTTAATCCATCAATGTCTTGTGTGTTCTGACTGCTCCACCAACCAGCCTTTCCCCATCCTTCTCCCTCTCCTTGGGCCTTCCTCTTCCCTGAGACACAGCAATATTGAAATTAGATCCGTTGAGGCTGGGTGCAGTAGCTCATGCCTATAATCCCAGCACTTTGGGAGGTTGAGACGGGCAGATCACTTGAGGTCAGGAGTTTGAGAGCAGCCTGGCCACACATGGCAAAACCCTGTCTCTACTGAAAATATAAAAATGAGCCAGGCATGGTGGCAGGTACCTGGTATCCCAGCTACTCAGGAGGCTGAGGCAGGAGAATCGCTTGAACCTGGGAGGCAGAGGTTGCAGTGAACCAAGATTGCGCCACTGCACTCCAGCTTGGGTGACAGAGTGAGAGTCCCTATGAAAAACCAAACAAGCAAACCAACACACAAATAGAAATTGTATCAATTAATCCCTTACAATGGCGACTACGTGTTCAAATGAAGAGAAGAGTGGCATGTTTCACTTTAAATAAAAAGCTAGCAATAATTTAGCTGAGAGAAGATGTGTTGAAGCTAATACAGGCTGAAAGCTAGGTGTCATGCACCAACTGGTTAGCCAAGCTGTGGATGCTAAGGAAATGTTTTTGATGGAAATCAAAAGTGCTACTCCAGTGAACAACAAAAACAAAAAGATAAGAAAGCAAAACAGCCTCATTGCTGATGTGGGGAAAGTTTTAATGGTATGGATGGAAGATCAAACCAGGCACAAATTCTGTGAAGCCAAAGCCTAATCCGGAGCAAGGTCCTGACTGTCTTCAACTCTGTGAAGGCGGAGAGAGCGGAGGAAGCAGCTGAAGAAAAGTTTGAAGCTAGCAGAGGTGATGCATGAGGTCTAAGGACAGAAGCCATCTCCGTAACATGAAAGTGCAAGGTGAAGCAGCAAGTGCTGATGGAGAAGCTGCAGCCGTTATCCCGAAGACCTAGCTAAGAGCATCAGTGAAGGGGGCTACACTAAATAAGAGATTTGCAATGCACATGGAATAGCCATCTATTGGAAGAAGATGCCATCTAGGACTTTTATAGCTATAGAGGAGGAGTCAGTGATGGGCTTCAAAACTTCAAAGGACAGATGGCTGTCTGGTTAGGGGCTAATGCAGCTTGTGACTTTAAGTTGAAGGCAAGACTAATTTACAATTCAAAAAATCCTAAGGCCCTCAAGAATGATGCTAAATCTACTCTGCCTGTGCATTATAAATGGAAGGACAAAGCCTAGGTGACAGCACATCTGTGTGCAGCATGGTTCGCTGAATATTTAAAGCCCGTTATTGAGAACTACTGCTCAGAAAAATAAAATAAAATAAAACAAAAAGGATTCCTATCAAAATATTATGGATGGCAGCAGCAGCCCATCTAGAGTGGCTGCTGCCAAGATGCCAGCTGCAGCAGGGAGGCACAGCTGGGTCTTCCACTCCACAGAGCAGGCAGGAGCCCAGCCTTCCCTGGGCACCACGGCAGCTGCCCAGCCTGGCTGTGGAGCAGGGCATTCCTGTGGTCTTAGGAGCCTGGGAATCCCTCCCTGCCCCACACAGGCTTAGAAGTGACTGCTCCCACTGCTGAGCCTGGCACTCCTGGCAGCTGGGCCCAGGGCCTACAATTTGCTCCCAGAGGAGCCAACCTGACAGGGCTGTGAGTTGGGCAGAGGGGAGCCCTGGACCACCCCTGACCACTGGGGCCAAAGGGGAACTTGTGGCAATATCACCCCTGTCCCTGGACTCTGGCACAGGCCTGGATCCCCCATCCCAGTCTGCAAGGAGGTGGCTAGGGCAGCAGGACTGGTGGTGGGAGCAGCAGTGGGGTCCCCTGTGCCCTACGTCCCCAGGGCAGTCAACTCTGCCACCTCCACCCTTGCATGGTTGGGCAGGACCTGCTCCAAGGCTTGGAGCCTCTGCCACAGCTTCGACCTCACTCTGCCATGTCCTGGGAGCCCATGAGCACCCGGCCAAAGTTGCAGCCAGGACTCATGGGACCAGCCCCAGGAACATCGGGTTCACTTGTGCAGGGGCCACCACTGCAGCAGAGGGAGACGCAGAGAAGGGCACAGCCAGGTCTGCTCACCTTGCAGAGCTAGGACAGGTAAGAGCCATGACCGCCCTCAAGTTGGCAGGGTGGGAGCTCCTGAGGCTCAGTTGCAGCCACCCAGGTTACAGCTGTGGGCCTGGGCCTCCCAGTGCTCTCAGGACTCAGGCTTGGGGGTATCTGCCCCTTCTGCCTGGCCTCTCCCTGCTCCCAGCGCTTACTCTGATCCTGGAGTAGGGTTGGAGCGAAGCCCAGGTGCTGCTGCAGTCCAGCCAGGTGTGTGCACACTCAGGGTAGTGCTGATGCACAGTGCCCTGCTGCTTTGGCCTCTCTGGACTTTGGGCACCAATAAGCACGGGTGGGAGGCTGAGATGGGGCTGGTGGCAGCTCAGCACTGGCCTGTGGGTATCCCTGGGTGCAAGCGACCTGGACATCATGGGTGGTGGCAGGAGGCAGACAGGCTCCTGGGTGTGAAGGGGTGGGTTCCAGGTGAGGCTGCACCTTCAGGCCAGGGAGGACCTGAAGGCTGGGGGCCGGGCTGCAGTAGGGACTTGTGCCTTTTCCGGGCCCACTCATGGCTGCCCGTGGACCAATTGGCAGGCACTTCCTCTCCTCTGAGGCCCATAAAAGCCCCAGGCTCAGCCAGAGCAGAGCAGTGGACGGAGAGGTGCCAGGAC